GGCCGAGGAGGGCAGATCACAAAGTCAGGAGTTCGAAACCAGACTGGCCAACATGGTTCAAACCCCTCTCTACTAGAAAACTGCAAAAATTAGCCAGACATGGTGGCGCATGCCTGTAATCCCAGCTACTTGGGAGGTTGAGGCAGGAGAATTGCTTGAACCCAGGAGGCAGAGTTTGTCGTGAGCCAAGATCACACCATTGCACTCCAGCCTGGGCAACAAGAGCAAAACTCCATCACACACACACACACACACACACACACACACACACACCAAAACAAAACAAAACTTCTTCTGATTAATTTAAGTTTTCTCGGCAAGTAAAAAAGATTGGAATTACTGATCACTCACAATGTGGTTTTAAATGTTTTTTAATGAAGATATATAACGTTTCTTTTAAGCTTTTAACCTATGTTTTTTGGTTTTTCACTTTTATTAGAAAATAAGTATGAAAATTTTTATTAGTACAAACCTACAAATTTTATTCAAATCTAGACATAGTGCTAATCTTAAAAGATCTGTATGTTTAAGATTATAGATAACCTATTTACACATAGAAGATAAATAACTGCTTTCCAGTAAAACCAATGGGGCAATTTTGAACCTCGATTACAAGCTATTATAATATTAATACTATAATCTAGGTAGAAATTTTAGGTATCTGCATATTCAGGTTGTTTAGCATGTAACAAATCAGAAACTGTAATTTTTTAATAAAGTATAAATAATAAACAAAATATAAGGTATCATTTTCTTTTTCTCCGTTTTGAAATACTGTCATTATTTCTAGGTGATATAACACTCCATTACAGAGGCTGTGGCTGTTGAAACTAGAAATGTCATGGTCAATTCTTTGTTACTTGCTGCCTTTTTCTTTCGCACAAATACAGCAGCACAAGGAAGGCAAGAAATGCTACACCTTGATTGCAAACACGAGTGCCCTTCTAGGGAGAATACATGTGTGAGCATTTTAACTTGAAATTCATTGTATCTTTTGTTCAAGTACAGACTTTCACATGGCAAGTAAAAAAGACAATAATTTAACATTACAATGGCATAAGTACTCTAAAAATAGCTTTTGACCCATTATTTCTATTTTTCAAAAGAATAATTGTGATAGAATGAGCATTTACAGCACTGTGGTCTTAAATAACCCCCACTCTTTGGTTAATTATTTTTGAAATATAACCATAGACTTGTGTGCCTTTTTTTTTAAGAAAAAATGTTTTCTATTTCTAATTCAGTAATTTAGCATAATTTGTAGTCTCACGCTTTCAAAAATAGTTTATCCTAACAAAAGTGATTAAATAGCTTACCACTTTTTCCCCAAAAAGAATAACAAATTAAGTCTAGTCTAGTGTACAGTTAATTCATAAATAATGGTGTAATTTATTGTAGCTGCACACTTGAAAATAAAACACTTTTGGCCGGGCGCGGTGGCTCACGCCTGTAATCCTAGCACTTTGGGAGGCTGACGTGGGTGGATCACGAGGTCAAGAGATGGAGACCATCCTGGTCAACAAGGTGAAACCCCGTCTCTACTAAAAATACAAAAATTAGCTGGGCATGGTGGTGCGCGCCTGTTGTCCCAGCTACTCGGGAGGCTGAGGCAGGAGAATTGCTTGAACCCAGGAGGTGGAGGTTGCAGTGAGCCGAGATTGTGCCATTGCACTCCAGTCTGGGTAACAACAGCGAAACACCGTCTCAGAAAAAAAAAGAAAAAAAGAAAAGAAAACACTTTTTGGGCTATAGACCAAAAGCTTTCAGAGAGGTTAGCTTATAAAATGTGGGAAGACATGGTATAGAAACATTCACCCCTATGCCTTAAGGGGTGATTTTTTTTCACCCCTAATTTCAACTATTAACTCAGAACTGGAGAAATAGAACTTGTCATTATGCAAAAATGCATTTTATTATTTTTGTATTTAAGGGGTATATGTGCAGATTTGTAAAACAGGTATACTACATGATGTTGAGGTTGGACACTTAATTCCATTGCCCAAGTAGATTTTAAATGCTTGTCTCCTCTCCTTCCTCCTCCTTTTTAGAATTTCCAGTATTTGTTTTCATCTGTTTCCATGTGCATCCGGTTTTTAGTGCCCATGTATGAGAATGTGGCATTTGCTTTTCTGTTGTGTTAATTTGCTTAGAAGAAGGGCCTTCTGTTGCATTCATGTTGCCGCGAAAGACATTCTCTTCTGTTTCTGCATTGTATTGGAGGTTGTTTAAGTACATCATTTTTCTTATCCAATAAAAGATTCATGGATAACTGGTTTAATTTGGTCTTTAATATTGCCAGTCGTGCTGCAATAAACATGTGAGTGCAGGTGTCTCTCTGGCAAAATCAGTTTTTCTCCTTTGGGACAGATACCCAGTAATGGGGTCAAATGGCAATTCTACTTGTAGTTCTTTGAGAAATTTCCAAATTGCTTTGCACGGATCTGAATTAATTTGCATTCCCAACAACGGCGTAGGAAAATTTCCTTTTCTCGAAAACTTTATCAACTTACTTTTAATAAGTCATTCTTAATGGTGTGAAATGATATCATGTCACATTGATTTACATCTTTCAGATAATTAGGAATGTCGAGCAATTTTTACATGTTTATTGGCAGCTCTTAAGTCTTTGAGAATTCTTCCTTTGAGAAGAATCTATTAATATCATTTGTTTGCTTTTTATTAAAATTTTTATAAATTCTGTATATTAATCCTTCATTGTCTACTGTTTGCAAATATTTATTTCATACTGTTTAAGTCATCTGTTCATTTTGTTGAGTTTTTTTTTTTTACTGTGCTGAAGCTCTTTGGCTTAATTAGATGCCAGTTTTTAATTTTTATTTTTGTTGCACTGATGTTAGATATTAGTCATATATTATTTCCAGAGGCCAATATTTTCTAAGTGTTCTAAAAGTTTTGTAGCTTCAAGACTCACAGATCAAGTTGTTTTGTTTGTTTTTTTTTAAGCCGGAGTTTCGCTCTTTTTTACCCAGTTGCTGGAGTGCAATGGCACGATATCGGCTCACCGCAACCTCCGCCTCCTGGGTTCAAGCAATTCTCCTGCCTCAGCCTCCCAAGTAGCTGGGACTACAGGCATGCGCCACCATGCCCAGCTAATTTTTGTTTTTTTAGTAGAGACAGGGTTTCACCATGTTGACCAGGATGGTCTCGATCTCTTGACCTTGTGATCCACCCATCTCAGCCTCCCAAAGTGCTGGGATTATAGGCATGAGCCACTGCACCCGGCCACTGACAGATCAAGTTTTTAATCTATGTTGAGTCATATGTTTATGTAGAAAAAGGTAGGAGTCCAGTTTTCTTCCACACCACTAACCAGTTTTCCCAGTATTTTTACTGAATAAGGAGTTAATTCCTCCTTTATTTGTTGGCTTTGTAAAAATAAGTTAGTTGTAAAGTTATAGCTTAATTCAGGACTCTGCCTTCCATTTCATTGGCCTACAAGTATATTTTTGTAACAAAGCCATGTTATACTGGTTACTCTGGTGCAATCTTGGCTAACTGCAACCTCCACTTCCTGGGTTAAAGCAGTTCTCTTGCCTCAGCCTCCCAAATCCCAAGGGAAAAAAATTTTTTTAAAAGATGAATCACATTTGAAAATGTTTGTTTTTTGCTGTTTTCTCATTTGTCAGTCATAACCACAGAAACTTTGATGTTTAACAGCATGTTCTGAACCCATCACAGTGCATCAGAGACTTTAAAGCAGTTCTCTTGCCTCAGCCTCCCAAATAGCTGGGATTACAGGCACGTACCACTGTGCCCAGCTAATTTTTTGTTGTTGTCGTTGTTGTTGAGATGGTTTTGCACGTTACTCAGGCTGGAGTGCAATGGCGCAATCTTGGCTCACGGCAACCTCCGCCTCCTGGGTTCAGGCAATTCTCCTGCCTCAGCCTCCTGAGTAGCTGGGATTACAGGCACGCACCACCATGCCCAGCTAATTTTTTGTATTCTTAGTAGAGACGGGGTTTTACCATGTTGACCAGGATGGTCTCGATCTCTTGACTTCGTGATCCACCCGCCTCGGCCTCCCAAAGTGCTGAGATTACAGGCTTGAGCCACCACGCCCGGCCTGACCAGCTAATTTTTTGTATTTAGTAGAGGGGGGTTTTACCATGTTGGCCTGGGTGGTCTCAAACTCCTGACCTCAGATGATCCATCCGCCTTGGCCTCCTAAAGTGAGGTGTGAGCCACCATGCCCAGCCCAGATTTATTCTCTTAGTCTGAAGTTGTCTTGACTATTTGGGCTCTTTAATTCTTTTATACCTATTTTATAATCATTTTCTTTTTCTAATTCTATAAAACTTTAAGGATAGTTTGATAAAAATAGCAGTTAATCTATAGGTTGCTTTAGGCAGAATGGCCATTTCAATTATATTATTTGAATTCATGAGCATGCAATATTTTTTCATTTATTTGCATTGTCTCTCATTTCTTTCAGCAATGTTTTTTGTAGCTGTGTGGAGATATTTTGTCCCTTGATTTAATGTTATTTCTAGATGTATTTTTTTTTCTTGTGGCTATTGCAAATAGAACTGTTTTGTTTTTTTTTTTTTACTTTTTTCTCAGCTTAATATTATTGGTGTACAAAAATGCTATGCATTTGTGTTGATTTTCTATTTCGAGATTTTTTTTGAAAATTTTTTTTAGACTTAGGAATCTTTTGGTGAAAATTAAAGTTTCTGGTTTAATCTTTGGAAGTTGTGTGTATCCAGTTTATCTATGTTCTCTAAATTTTCAATTTTGCATGCATTTTCATAGAAATCTGAGGATTTTTAAAAATTTATGTAGAATTAGATGTGATTTCACATCTCTAACATTTAAATAAATGCAGAATAAAAGTTTAACAAAATTCAAAATTTCTTCATAATAAATTCCTGAAACAAGTGGTTATATGGTAAACAAACCTCAAACCAACGAATGCCGCATATAACAACAGCAAAAAAACAAAAAAAAAAAAGCACAGCAAGTAACACACTAAACGGGGAAAACTTATAAGGTTTTATTCTAAGAGCAAGAAGACAAATAATGCCCACTCTCTTCAGTCTTATTAAACACAGTACTAAATATCCAAGACAGAGAAATTAGAAAATAAAATCAAAGCACCCAGACAAAATGTTAAATTATTCCTGTATATATTTTTTAATCCTATGCATAATCTTAAGCAAAGGCCTAAGATATTACTAAAAATTATGACTAATAAACAAATTTATTAAACCAGCAGAATATAAAAGCAACATCTAAGTGGCAGCAGCATATCTATATACTGACAACTATCTCAAAATGAAATCAAAGACATTAATACACAATTGGAAAATTATTTCTCCTTTATAAATTGGCATTAACAATATTATTAAATATCTGTATTATACAAAATAATGTATAGATATAATGCAAGCTCTATCAAAATACCAGTTACATAACACATTTTTTAAAAACACATCTAAAATTTTTATATGGTACCACAAAAGATCCTCAATATCCAAAGCAATCAAGCAGTAGAAAAAGTGAAGGTATAACTCTACCTGACTTTGAAAGATACTACAAAGCTACAGAAAAAGAAAAGTATGGTACTTGAATAAAAAGAGACACACAGGACAATACAGAAAAAAAAGGAGACCAGAAATATATTAATGTATTCACAGCCAAGTGTTTTTAAATAGAGGTGGCAATTTCTTAGGGAAATGGCAGTATCTTCAATAAATGGTGTTGAGAAAATTTTGTAACCACATTCAGAGGAATATCTCAACCTCAATTCACATCATATATTACACAAACTAAATTAGATACTTAAATGTAAGGTCTAAAACTCTGAAACTACTACCAAAAAATATAGACTGAAAGCCCTGTAACATTTGCTGGGCAGTGACTTTTAATATGTGAACTAAAATCCCAAGGAACAAAAAAATTTTTTGAAAAGATGAATCAGATTTGAAAATATGTTTGTTTTTTGCTGTTTTCTCATTTGTCAGTCATAACCACAGAAACTTTGATGTTTAACAGCAAGTTCTGTACCCATCACAGTGCATCAGACACTTTATGGCTTTTATTTTAAGCTTGAGGCACCTAGAGTTACTGGTGCTTACGGTAACAGTATGAAAGACACTGAAAGGGCAGCCTTGCTTATGCTCCCATGACTGGCCACTGTGTGAACACAGTAAACTGGTCTGCATGCAAACTAACAGGACATGTTTTCATCTAAAAGCTCCCATTATCTCCAAAAGTTTTCAGAGAAAATGGACAAGGAGATCACTGCAGTTAGGTGACTAAGAATATAAACTGTAGATTAAATTTAAACCATTAAAAAATTTATAAACAGTAAGAGTAACAAATTTCTCCCAATTGTAACATTAATATGGAAAATAAATATTCCAAATTTACAGAGGTCATTTTAATGTTTTACAACCTTTAACATTCACACTTTACAATAGAGGATTCTGCATGAAAATCCATGTTGTGCTATGAGTATATAATAAATAACTAAATTTAAAATTGCTATTCTCTTAACTTTTATATGTATGTCCTAGCAAATTATATATTTGCCACACTTTGTATAAGAATCTAATATTTTTCTTTCTTTTTTTTTTTTTTTTGAGACGGAGTTTCGCTCTTGTTACCAAGGCTGGAGTGCAATGGCGCATGCAAAGATTCTAAAAGATAAGCTAAAAGAAGATAGTGTAATAAATTGAATACAAAGAATATATATTTGCTTTTACTATTTTTGAGGATTTTTCTTTTCTAGTAAATTAGACATCTTATTAAAATGATTTGTTTTGTCTTAATATTACTCTTTTCTTCTGAAAATAGTTGCAAACTTATACTAACACAAACACAGTTACTCCTTAAATCTAAGTTATATTAGACTAGTAGATGTGTATATTTAACTCTACGTAAGTCAAAACTAAAACTCCAAATGTTCTTGAAGGCAGAGGCCACATGCTTCAAAAAATACATAATAAATTTTTGAAAATATTTAGGACTCAGAAATACATTTGTTTTCACCTTTATATAAATTTTATGATGACTATAAAAATGACCATGTAGTCAGTAACAATTTAACAATACAACTTGGAATAACTAAGACTGTAGAACTGAATTGTTTTCAATACAAAACATAAAAGACAGAGGTTATATAAAATATATATATTAAAAAAAAAGAAAGAGGTTATAGGTACCTTATTTACCCTAATGTGATTATTATATATTGTATAACTGTATCAAAATATGCCATATATGGCATAAATGTATACACATATACACACAAAAACTAAGAAAAATAAATTAAAATGTTAAAAATATTATGACTTACAGAAACCATATTCTTTATTTGCAGTTTAAAGCTACTGGAAAAGAAGCTTTAACTAGAGATGTTAGTCTAGTATGTTGCCAAACAGTGTACCGTTACCATCTTTTAAATACACACTTGAGTAAGGAATAACAGGTTAAAAATAGTGGCACAATAACACTTTTTTGAATGTACAACAGTGCCTAATGTTATAAATATTGAATTAAAAAATTAACACAATCTAAAATGTTTTCAAAATGTAGTTTTGTTTTTTTTTTTTGAGACGAAGTTTTGCTGTTGTTACCCAGACTGGAGTGCAATGGCACGATCTCGGCTCACTGCAACCTCTGCCTCCTGGGTTCGAGCAATTCTCCTGCCTCAGCCTCCCGAGTAGCTGGGACTACAGGCACGCGCCACCATGCCCAGCTAATTTTTGTGTTTTTAGTAGAGACGGGGTTTCACCTTGTTGACCAGGATGGTCTCAATCTCTTGACCTCGTGATCCACCTGCCTCGGCCTCCCAAAGTGCTAGGATTATAGGCGTGAGCCACCGCGCCCGGCTCAAAATGTAGTTTTATCACATGAAATTACAATTAGTAAAATGACATACTAAATTTTGATTTAATTTTAACTATAATTAAGAATGATTTTTCTTTCATAATAATGGATTAGAATATTACTTGGGGCTGGGCACAGTGGCTCACACCTGTAATCCTAGAACTTTGGGAGGCTAAGGTGAGCAGGCCACTTGAGGTCAGGAGTTCAAGAACAGCCTCCCAACATGGTAAAACCTCATTTTACTAAAAAACAAAAATTAGTCAGAAGTAATAGTGGGCACCTGTAACCTCAATCACTTGGGAGGCTGAGACAGGAGAACGGTTGAATCTGGGAGGAAGAGACTGCAGTGAGCTGATGTGCCACTGCGCTCCAGCCTGGGAAACAGGGTGAGATTTCCTCTCAAAAAAAAGAAAAAAAAACAAAATATTACTCAAAATGCCTACCTCATGCATCACTCAATTCTATAAATTAACCACAAACAGCCTTTCTACTTAGATTTTCATCATGCATCTTACATTTTAATGTTCTTATTTGTCCATAAGAAAGATCATAATGACCACCTAATAAAAAAGCCTCCCAAATCTTTGATGCAGAATTGATAGCATGCTTTTACATGTGAATACAATAGAAATGAAAAAAATAACACGAAGTAATTTAAGAGTTGAATTTCATCATTATTCAGTTTTCAAATAATCTGGGTTTTGTTTGTTTGTTTTTTAAGACAGTCTTGCTCTGTCACCCAACCTGTAGTGCAGTGGCAAAACCCCGGCTCACTGCAACCACTGCCTCCCAGGTTCAAGTGATTCTCATGCCTCAGCCTCCCAAATAACTGGAATTACAAGTGTGCATCACAATGCCTGGTTAATTTTTGTATTCATTTTTAGTAGCGATGGGGTTTCACCACGTTGGCCAAGCTGGTCTTGAACTCCTGACGTCAGGTGATCTGCCCACTTTGGCATCTCCAAGTGTTAGCCTTACAGATGTGAGCCACTGTGTCTGGCCAAAAAAATCTGTATTTTCAAGATAAAAGTATGCTTTAAATATAATTAATACTCTTCAAAGATCTACGTCTTTTAAAGTTATAAACAAATAATTTTTTTACCAAATTTAGTTGTTTTTTTTTCCCCCATACTCAGCAGTCGTATTTAGTGTAATGTCTGAATTTTGAGAGACAGATATTTTTACTGTGAAATTCTGATATTTACATAAACTTGTTTTGGATTAATTTTTAAAAATACAGTATCTGCAAAAATATACTTTAGTATAAACTCTGGTGTTTTATAATATGTAGTTTTTGAAAAAATGTTTTTCCAAATTTATTATATTTGCAAGGTTATTCTTCAATATAAATTCCCTGATATTGAGCAAAGTTGGAACAACTGCCTCAGGGTTTTCCTCTAGTACAAAATGTGTACAATAAAATCTGTGATACAAGTAAAGGTACTATAATCCTCTTTATATATTTGTTTTCAAAATAAATATTCTTTTGCACTTTTAGGGCTTCTATTTTCTGAAAGATCTACTGACAGTAACTGCACTTTTAATGCTTTTATTGAGTATTAATTCTCGGATGTTGAATAAGATGTGAGAAGGTATTAATGGCTTTCACAATTTCTTTCTTTTTTTTTTTTTTTTTAATAATCTCCCTGTTGCCCAAGCTGGAATACAGTGGCATAATCTTGGCTCACTGCAACCTTTTCCTCCCAGGTTCAAGTGAGTCTCCTGCCTCAACCTCCTGAGTAGCTGGAATTACAGGTGTCTGGCACCATGCTTGGCTAATTTTTTTTGCATTTTTTGTATAGATGAAATTTCAGCATGTTGACCAGACTGGTTTTGAACTCTTGACCTCAAATGATCCATCTGTCTTGGGCTCCCAAAATGCTGGGATTACAGGTGTGAGGCACTATGCCTAGCCTACACTTTGTTTATATTTGTACATTGGTTCTCAAATAGAAATGCTTTCCTGTGCAATAAGGTGTGAGCATTGGCTAAATGTTTTACCACGTTATTCACATTAGTCGTTTTCTCCAGTATATTTTACCTACAATCAAGTGTGACAGCCATTTGAAGACTGGCACATTATTCGCATTTCTCATCCATACAATTTCTTTTGTATTCAGAAATTTGAGGTGTTGCCGAAAGCACTGTGACATTTTTAGATTTGTAGAGTTTCTCTATAGCATAAATTAGCTTATGTCTGTTAAAAATTGAGGATCTGTTAGAGGCTTTCCCACATTCTTCACATATGTAGGGTTTCTCTACAGTATGAGTTTTCTTATATGTACTAATCCTTACAGACTGGTTAAAGGCTTTGCCACATTCCACAAACTGGAATGGATTCCCTCCAGTATTAATTACCTATGTTTAGTAAGGATTGAGGAACAGTTAAAAGACTTATCACAGTCTTCACATTTGTAAGGTTTCCGTCCTGTATAAACTCCCTTATGTTCAGTAAGTGTTGAGAACTAGTTAAAAGCTTCACCACATTTTTAACATTTGTAGGGGTTTTCCTTCCAGTATGAATTATCTTATGAGTAGTAAGGTGTAAGGACCAGTTGAAGTCTTTACCACATTTTTCACAATGGTAGGGTTTCTCCTCCAGTATGAAATCTCTTATGTTCAGAAAGGTTTGAGGCCCAGGTGAAGGCTGTCACATTCTTCACATTTGCAGTATTTCTCTCCAGTATGAACTGCCTTGTGTATTGTAAGGGTTGAGAACTTGTTAAAGGCTTTGCCACATTCTTCACATTTGTAGGGCTTCTCTCAAGTATGAATTCTCTTATGCTTGGTAAGGCTTGAAGACCACCTAAAGGCTTTGTCACATTCTTCACATTTGTGGTGTTTCTCTCCAGTATGAATTGCCTTGTGTGTAGTAAGGGTTGAGAACTTGTTAAAGGCTTTGCCACATTCTTCACATTTGTAGGGTTTCTCTCCAGTATGAATTATCTTATGCTTAATAAGACTTGAAGACCATCTAAAGGCTTTGCCACATTCTTCACATTTGTAGTTCTTCTCTTCAGCATGAATTTTCTTATGTGTAGTAAGAGTTGAAGATTGTCTAAAAGCTTTGCCACATTCTTCACATTTGTAGGGTTTCTCTCCAGTATGAATTATCTTATGCTTAGCAAGGCTTGAGGACTGGCTAAAGGCTTTGCCACATTCTTTACATTTGCAGGACTTCTCTCCGGTATGAATTCTCTTATGTTCCGTAAGGTTTGATAATCGGTTGAAGGGTTTGCCACATTCTGCACATTTGTAGGGTTTCTCTCCAGTATGAATTGCCTTGTGTATATTAAGGGTTGAAAACTTGATAAAGCCTTTGCCACATTCTTCACATTTGTAGGGCTTTTCTCCTGTATGAATTGCCTTGTGTGTAGTAAGGGTTGAGAACTTGTTAAAGGCTTTGCCACATTCTTCACATTTGTAGGGTTTCTCTCCAGTATGAATTATCTTATGCTTAATAAGGCCTGAAGACCACGTAAAGGCTTTGCCACATTCTTCACATTTGTAGTGTTTCTCTCCAGCATGAATTTTCTTATGTGTAGTAAGAGTTGAGGATTGTCTAAAAGCTTTGCCACATTCTTCACATTTGTAGGGTTTCTCGCCAGTATGAATTATCTTATGCTTAGTAAGGCTTGAGGGCCAGCTAAAGGCTTTGCCACATTCTTCACATTTGTAGTGTTTCTTTCCAGTATGAATTGCCTTGTTTATAGTAAAGGTTGAGAACTTGTTAAAGGTTTTGACACATTCTTCAGATTTGTAGGGCTTCTCTCCAGTATGAATTCTCTTATGCTTAGTAAGGCTTGAAGACCACCTAAAGGCTTTGTCACATTCTTCACATTTGTGGTGTTTCTCTCCAGTATGAATTGCCTTGTGTGTAGTAAGCGTTGAGAACTTATTAAAGGCTTTGCCACATTCTTCACATTTGTAGGGCTTCTCTCCAGTATGAATTTTCTTATGGTTAGGAAGGCTTGAAGACCACCTAAAGGCTTTGCCACATTCTTCACATTTGTAGTGTTTCTCTCCAGCATGAATTTTCTTATGTACAATAAGAGTTGAGGGTTGTTTAAAAGCTTTGCCACATTCTTCACATTTGTAGTTTTTCTCTCCAGCATGAATTTTCTTATGTATAATAAGAGTTGAGGATTGTTTAAAAGCTTTGCCACATTCTTCACATTTATAGGGTTTCTCTCCAGTATGAATTATCTTATGCTTAGTAAGGTTTGAGGACCAGCTAAAGGCTTTGCCACATTCTTCACATTTGTAGGGCTTCTCTCCAGTATGAATTCTTTTATGACAAGTAAGGGTTGAGAACCAGTTAAAGGTTTTGCCACATTCTTCACATTTGAAGAAATTCTCTCTAGTACAAATTCCTTTATGTTGAGATAGGTGTGAAAGCATGCAAAATGATCTGACATATTCTTTACATTTCAAAAGTTTATTTTCAGTATGCCTTATCTTATGTCTGTTTGAATTTGAACATTTATTAAAGACTTTTGCATATTTATCACATTGAAATACTTTGCTTTGTGTAGTTGCCAAACTCTGGTTAAGTTTCTTATAACCTTCTTTGTGCACCTTATACTCATCCATATTGGTACAATCAATTTTTAACTGTAAATTATCATGTCCACATTTTTCATATCTTCTCAAAACCACTTTTTGGAAAGAATCTTCTATGCCCTCCTCTTCCCAAAGGTCTTGAGAAAAATGAGAACATATAACTGAAAATAAATAAAAATCACAAATTATTTCACTTATTAGACTCAGATAAATACAGTTTACAAATCTAACCTATAAAATTATTCAAACTACATAAACAACATGACATTGCAATATACCACAGGCTCTAATTCTTCATAGACATATAAACATAGTAAAAGTACATAGATGAAATTCATAAGTGGAGAATTTATACATGAGTTAAATGTGTGCAATGCCTGAATTAAATCCAATGCAAAGAGCCACATAGAAAAAAAAGAAAAGTTTGTTAAATTTACCCAATACAACTCTTTCTGTTCCCAATATTACACAGTCCCTTTAGAAGTAAATTGCCAACTTCTGTTTTTTTTTTTTTTTTGAGACGGAGTTTTGCTCTTGTTACCCAGGCTGGAGTGCAATGGCGCGATCTCAGCTCATTTTTTTTAAAAAAGACAAGTAAAGTATTAATACATAAAATTGAATTTCTGGCTCCTATGGGGCTTTCCACACAGTGATTTCTGTCTCCCCATTCCATAAAATAGTAAAGGAAATGGTGGTATACTTTGAAATGACAGTTTGAGTCTTCAGAGGCTAAAGGTGAACTCACTGCAGCAGAGCACTGCAGTGCTATAGAGAAAGAACAGGTGTAGCAAGTGATTACTTTTCAAAAGAAACATAAATAATCTCCTTGAGCTAAAAGTAAACACAAAATTTCAGACAAGACAAAGCTGAAGACGTTTGACAGACCTCCATAATCTCTTGCCAAAACCACTGTTTTCTGACTACGCCAGGACAAAGCTACATTATAAATTTTGAGACAGGTAGCTTTTTTAAAGCTTCAAATCTCAAAAATTATAATATGTAAAAAATAAAGCAATATAATCCCATCAAAAATATTATAAAACTTTTAGAAAGAAACCATTATAAATGTATATATTAATTTTAAAAATTGAATAATATTCAATGAGTGAAAATAGGAACACAGACTATAGAAAATCATAAAAATGAGGGTAATAACAAAAATATTTAAATTGTGGTGATAGTAAAGACCTGGAACCAACCCAAATGCCCATTAATGATAGACTAGACAGGGAAAATGTGGCACATATACACCATGGAATACTATGCAGCCATCAAAAACGATGAGTTCGTGTCCTTAGTAGGGACACGGATGAACCTGGAAACCATCATTCTCGGCAAGCTGACACAAGAACAGAAAATCAAACACCGCATTTTTTCACTGATAGGTAGGTGTTGAACAATGAGAACACATGGACACAGGGAGGGGAGTATCACACACTGTGGTCTGTCGGGGGGGAACAGGGGAGGGACAGCGGGGGGGTGCGGAGCTGGGGAGAGAGAGCATGAGGAGAAATGCCAGATATAGGTGATGGGGAAGAAGGTAGCAAATCACACTGCCATGTGTGTACCTATGCAACAATCTTGCATGTTCTTCACATGTACCCCAAAACCTAAATAAATAAATAAATTGTGGTGATAAAAAATACAAAAAGAAATAACTGAAAGATTCTAAAATTAAAAAAAAAAGGGGGGGACTTCCACAAAGATGGCCAAATAAGAACAGCTCCAGTCTGCAGTTTCCAGTGAGAGCACACTGTGATCCCCACATATCCAGCTGAGGTAACAGGTTCATCTCATCGGGACTGGTTAGACAGTGGGAAAAGCCCAATGTGCACAAGCCAAAGCAGGGTGGGGCACAGCCTCACCCAAGAGGTTCAACGGGCCAGAGAACTCTCTCCCCCAGCCCAGGGAAGCCATTAGGAACTTTTCCAGACACTCCGACACTCCAGCTCAGATGCTGCACTTTTCCCATGGTCTACACAACCCCAAGACCAGGAGATTCCCTGCGGTGCCTACACCAGTGCTTCGGTATTCCAGCACAAAACTGGATGGCCGTTTTATTTGAGTTGCACCTGGAATGCCAGCAAGACAGAAAAGCTCATTCCCCCTGAAAAAGGGGGCTGAAGCCAGGGGGCCAAGCAAGCTGACGAGGTACTTCCCACCCCCATGAAGACTGGCAATCTAAGATCCACTGGCTAGAAATTCTCACAGCTAGCACAGCAGTCTGAGCTCAACCTGGGACGTTTGAGCTTGGTGGGAGGAGGGCTGCTCGCCACTGCTGAGGCTCCATTAGGCGATTTTAACATTGCCTGTGTAAACAAATCCAGGAAGTTTACATGGCAGCTGAGCACAGCCCAGCATGGCAACTCAGCAAGGCCTCTGCAGGCAGATTGTCAAGTAGATTCCCTTCTTGCTGGGCAGGGCATCTCAGAAAAAAAAAAGTCAGCACCCTGTCAGGGACTTACAAAGCCTCCACCTTCCTGGGACAGACACCTGGGAAAAGGGCAGTTGTGAGTTCCGCACCAGCAGACTTAAACATCCCTGCCTGGCAACGCTGAAGGGAGCTATGGATCCCCCATCAGTGCTTGAGCTCCACTAAAGGACAGGCTGCCTCCTCAAATGACTCCCTGATCCCTCGTATAATCAAACTGACAGAGACGTCATACGAGAGATCTCTGGCTAACATCTGGCAGGTACCCTTTTGGGATGAAGCTAGCAGAGGGAGGAACAGACAGCAACCTTTGCTGTTCTGCAGCTCCTGCAGGTGATTCCCAGGCAAGCAGGGTCTGGAGTAGACCTCCAGGAAACTCCAGCAGACCTGCAGCAGAGGGGCCTGAATGTTGAAAGGAAAACTAACAAACAGAAAGAAATAGCTTCAACATCAACAGAAAGGACATCCAATCAGAAATCCCATCCAAAAGTCACAACCTTCAAAGACTAAAGGTAGATAAATCCATGACGATGGGAATAAACCAGTGCAAAAAAGCTGAAATCACCAAAAGCCAGAATGCCTCTTCTCCTTCAAGGGATCACAACCCCTCAACAGCAAGAGAACAAAAAAGATGGAGAATGAGTGTGATGAATTGACAGAAGCAGACTTCAGAAGGTGAGTAATAACGAACTTCTCCAAGCTAAAGGAGCATGTTCTAACCCAATGCAAAGAAACTAAGAACCTTGAAAAAAGGTTAGATGAAATGCTAATGAGAATAACCAGCATGGAGAAGAACATAAATGACAAGATGGAGCTGAAAAACACAGCATGAGAACTTTGTGAAGCATACACAAGTTTCAATAGCCAAATATCAAGCAGAAGACAGGATATCAGAGATTAAAGATCAATTCAATGAAATAAAGTGAGAAGGCAAGATTAGAGAAAAGAGTGAAAAGAAATGAACAAAGCCCCAAGAAATATGGGATTATGTAAAAAGACCAAATCTACATTTGATCAGTGTACCTGAAAGTGACAGCAAGAAATAAACCAAGTTGGAAAACACTCTTCAGATATTATCCAGGAGAACTTCTCCAACCTAGCAAGGCAGGCCAACGTTCAAACACAGGAAATACAGAAAACACCACAAAGGTATTCCTCATGAAGAACAACCCCAAGGCACATAATCATCAGATTCACCAGGGTTGAAATGAAGGAAAAAATGCTAAGGGCAACCAGAGAGAAAGGTCAGGTTACCCACAAAGGGAAGCCCATCTGACTCACAGTGGGTCTCTCAGCAGAAACTCTGCAAGCCAGAAGAGAGTGGGGGCCAATCTTCAACATCCTTAAAAAAAGAATTTTCAACCCAGAATTTTATTATCCAGCCAAACTAAGTTTCATAAGTGAAGGAGAAATAAAATTTTTTATGGACAAGCAACTGCTGAGAGATTTTGTTACCACCAGGCCTGCCCTACAAGAGGACCTGAAGCAAGCACTAAACATGGAAAGGAACAACCAGTACCAGTCTCTGCAAAAACATACCAAACTGTAAAGACTATAGACGCTATGAAGATATTGTATCAAATAATGGGCAAAACAACCAGCTAGCATCAAAATGGCAGGATCAAATTCACATGTAACATTATAATCTTAAATTTAAATGGAAAAAATGCCCCAATCAAAAGATACAGACTGTTAAATTGGATGAAAAGTTAAGACCCATCAGTGTGCTGTATTCAGGAGATGCATCTCACGTGCAAAAACACACATAGGCTCAAAATATAGGACAGGAGAAAGATTTGCCAAGCAAATGGAGAGAAAGAAAAAAAAAGCAGGGGTTGCAATCCTAGTCTTTTATAAAACAGACTTTAAACCAAGAAAGATCAAAAGAGACAAAGAAGGGTATTACATAATGGTAAAGGGATTTATGCAATAAGAAGAGATAACTATCCTAAGTATATATGTACCCAATACAGGAGCATCCAGATACATAAAGCAAGTTCTTAACGACCTACAAAGAAACTTAAGTGGCAACTCTATCACCCCAATGTCAATACTAGACAGATCATCAAGACAGAAAATTAACAAGGATATCCAGGACTCGAACTCAGATCTGGACCAAGCAGACTTAATAGACATCTACAGAATTCTCCACCCCAAAACCATAGCATATACATTCTTCTCAGCACCTCACAGCACTTATTTTAAAACTGACCATATAATTGAATTAAAACACTCCTCAGCAAATGCAAAAGAATGGAAATCATAACAAATAGCCTCTCAGACCACAGTGCAATAAAATTAGCACTTGGGATTAAGAAACCACTCAAGGAGAATCAGAGGAAGATATGGTCACAGAAGAAGCCAGAGAGATTCAACATTGCAGGCTTTGAAGATGAAGGAAGTGGGCCACTAACCCAGAATGCGTGTGGCCACTAGAAGCTGGAAAAAGAAAGGAAATGGATCCTCCCCTACAACCTTCAGAAAGAAATGCAGCCCTGATGACACCTTAATTTTAGCCCAGTGAGATTCACGTTGAACTTCTAACATTCAGAAATAAATAGAAAAGTTGATCTTAAAATTTATATGGAATTGCAAGGGACCCAGAATGGCCAAAATAATCTTGAAAAGGAAAAATAAGTTGCAGAAAGCAAGGATCAAGTGTCTCAGCTTTCCACAGTGGCATCTTCGGAGGAAACTGTGGTGGAAATCTTCTGTAATCACTCTGTGTCC